TATAACTTTGAAGATGCATCTTTAAGGAACAAAGAGACAGGGGATGGGGTTTAGGGAGGAAATTCTAAACTTTTGGCTTCAGTAGCTAAAGGCAAGGGTGTCAATGTGGAGAAATGTACAACAGTGATGTGCAAGAAACCAGGATGGAATGCAGAGAAGAGATGGGGTTCTAGAGGAGAAGAGCAGGGAAGAAAATTAAGACTATGGAGAATTTGAAAACCAACATAAGTGCTTTTAAACTTGCAGGATCAGGAATCAATATAGGGTAGTCAACATAACTGATGGCTGAATGGACTTGTTGCAACATGGTTTATGGGCAGAGTCGTACATGGGCTTAGGTCGATGGAAAGTGGGAGAACAGTCAGGAGAACACTGAATTTTTTCAGGTCTTCTACAGTGTTAAGCAATTGGACGGGGAGAGGGTTGGTGTTCAAGGGATAAACTGTTCTGTTCTTTCTTAGAGAGAGAGAGATAAACGAATGGTTTGGGCCTGCAAATTTCAAAACAAAAAATTCAATGCTGGTAGTGAAGAGATTGTTTGTACGAGTTGCTTGCTGCTATAAATTAAGCAAACCACTGAATGTCTAAAAAGGTTTGCCTAAATGGGATTCTTTCCTGATGAAAGATCAAAGCTCACTATCCCATTTAAACATGCTTAGGGAGTTGCTGTCAACAGCAGACTTTTACTGCCTATATTTCCGGAGTGAGGAAACAGATATACTCAAGTGAATGGCCAGTAATTTGCAATAGCACCATGTCACTTCCTTTACATTACACTCAACCAGCTTCGTGAGAACATTACAACCACAATAATATCTTACATCCACAAAACAAGAACAAACAAGTTTTATTTGCAAAGATGACAATGATTGTGTTTAGTGAATACCATCAGGTTTGTATTAAAATAGCAGTTAGTTGAGAAGTTACTGTTAGACTCCAGAAAATTAAAAAGCTACAATAAATAGAAGTTTAAAGCAAAGTTTTTTTTTCTGTATTGTTCCTATAATGGAAATTGAAATAACTTCAACCATGGAGACACAGTTTAGTGCTACACGTGCAGATATATTACTGGGGGAGTGGGAGTATAGTTCCAAGAGATGAGGGCACAGTCAGCTTACATAGAAATAGAGAAACAACACTAATTAAACTGAAGGAACACAGACAGTATTAGGCCTTTAAGCTTGTTCAGTCACAGTTAAATCATGACTGATCTGTACCTCAACTCCACTTAATCAGCTTTGCTCCAAATCCCATGATACCCTTACTTAATAAGCAAAAATCTATAAATCAAAGCAATGAAAGTTTCAAATGACACAGCATTTATAGTAGAGTAGTTTGAACCTTAAAACAAATGCTTAATTTGAAGGTACTGGCTACATTTGGGAAATCAAATGTGGAGGCTGTGGAATCCATGTCAATGTTTGAGTTGTGCATCAATAACAAATTGCTGCAGAATCTCAACAGGTCTGGCAGCATCTACATGAACATCGTTCTAAAGAAGTCAATAGTGTGGAGCTGGAGGAACACAGCATGTCAGGCAGCACCAGAAAAGGAGGAGTGTTGACGTTTCAGGCCGAGACCCTTCATCAGGATTGAGGACAGTCCTGAAGAAGAGTCACTGAACGTAAAACTTTAACCATTTTCTTTCCACAGATACTGCCAGACCTGCTGAGTTTCCCCAGCAATTTGTTTTTTGTTTCAAATTTCCAGCATCCATATTTGCTGGTTTTGTTTTTTGGCAGGGTTGTGTATGCAGATTACATTCTATGTCAGATTTTTTTCTTTTTTTAAAAAAAGAGGTAGTAGCAGTACCCGAGATTGGGAAGGCTTATTTGGGAGCCAAAAACAATCAGAGGACTACGAATTATACTCTGGCTGCTTAGTTTATAAATAGCAAATCCTCACTGCTGTTCACCATATTACAAAAGGTGGGGCTCAGAAACACTGGATTGTTTCACTGCCACTAATTATTCCCACATGTATTTGCCTCAGCTACTGATCAATATTATGTTGGAAAGAATGTCCAAATCTTGTTTTTGGCATAAAATACGGCCAATCTACATGAAATAGGCTCATTAAAAGTTACTTAATAGCTATTTACATTAAACATGAGATACACAATGGTTTCTTGTAAGACATTAGGCTCAGTTTACTAGTAAATATTACAGCTACCAAAAACAAACAAACATTCTGGTGCACACAATAGTATACACTGGACAATGATACAAAACACTGAGGATGCCTTAGAAACTCTGTGAAACAGTTCTTTACATCCTAATGGGTAGATCTTAACTCAAGATGTCAGGTACTATCTACGTTTTACAACTCTAGGGAGTGAAGATAAACTGAAGATAGCTGTGGAAGCAAACTTGTTCTTCAACACCAGAGAGATAACAAAAAGGACAAATGACTTCACAAATTCTATCCAATCTCAGGCAATAACTAGTGGAAAGGCTGCAGTCAGAAATGGATTTGGTCAAATTCTCACATGCAGTTATCCTGGTTTGAAGACAAGTTACAGAAAGGACCAGCCCCAACTTTGCTGGGCCTCCTCACTGAAAAAAATAATCAATTTGTTATAGCAAGCAAGAGCATTGGCTTCTGCTCCCTCCCCCATAACATACATGGAGGGATACAATTGGATATACACCAAGTAGTCTGGAGCCATTATTGAACAACAATTATATCCAGAGATACTCAGCAATATCCACCATGGCCCAGAGGAAGAGAAGTCACAAGTTAACAAGGATGCTCTTTCATATCGGTGGAGGGGAATACTTTGATTGAATGAGAGGACAGTGCTGATTGGTTGGCAAATAGACACTGATTGGTAGAAGTGTTGCTATGAAGAATGCACAGATTAGATAATGATTGACAACTAAGTCCTCTTCAAAATTATAAATCAGGCAGGTTGACTTGGCAGTTAAATGCCAATCAAACTGCTGCATTGTCCATGGCATTCATGCATTTACCATGAAACACTTGCCCAACCAACCAGCACTTTATTCTCACTCAGCACAAGTGCTTTACCTTTACATTAACATTCTTGGGAATTTTCCTGATGTGTGCAAGATGAAATGGTTCAACAAAATGGATCTTCTTCCAGCAGTATGCAAGGTCCTCTTCAAGTAACACGAGTTGTAAAGTTCTCACATTGGACAATGACCACAACCTAATAGTACTCCTGTGCAAACTGTATCCTTAAAATCTCCATCACATGCCGAACTTGCAATTGTCCACCAGACTATGATTACAAAAGGTTTGATTCCACAAATTTACTTGACTGTAATGAATATCATGATGGACTAACTCTCACAACAACTGCAAAATTTGAGAAGGTGGTTCAGCACCACTTTATCAGAGCAACAAGACACGTACAAAAGAAGGTAGCTTTGCCAGCAGCTGTCATGTTCTGGAAAATCATCTTTAAAAATACATTATTGCATTCTTTAGAATCATGGAACAAATGAAGTGATTTCAAAACATACACATGTACATTTTTTAAAAAAAGTTGTTAATTAATCTTGCTCAAATACCTGTTAACATAAGTATTCAACAGTGAGTCCACTGAATCGGCCCTCAATAAAATTATATAGCGATTGCAATAGCAATTGTGCATTAATTCCATCCAGATAAAACATGACCTAAACGTGCCGGACATTATTGCTCTTTAATTACATACCTATATTAAGCCAGTTTTTTTGATGGTATTTGACCATTAGCTATTATACTTGGAGATTAAAATTCCAGAGTCATTAAAATATAATTTAAATTTAAATAAAAAAGTTCACTTCAGAAATTTTAAAGTTTGCCCATCTTGGCTCTCAAATATTTGTACTATATTCAAGAATGCTTACTTAACATGTCAAAGTTCATCTGGATAAAATATTTTAAATAGAACAAGTAGGTGGTGGATGTGGATTAGCCTCTAATGGATAAGGATGCTGGGGGGCAGTGGCAGGTGTTGGGAGCAACTAGGTTATGAATGAAAACCTTTACACAAGAAAACTGCGTTCCAAAGCAAGTTGGTTTAAGTACCACTTTTCTAGCAGTTAACGGTCGACTTTTATAGTGATTCAGGTTTTTGTATTTGTGTAAATCAGAACAGATACTAACTAGTGCTGGCAAATTAATTATCGAAACCTATATTCTAAACAAAGTCATTAACTTATTTTAACTTGTCACTATCAATCAAGGCCTATTGGATGAAATTGGACAAGACCTAATGCAGGAACCGTAATATTTTTGCAAATGCAAAGAATAAAGCAACTATCAGCACATATTTAGTTGTCAAAACTTTTGGTTGACAGAAACCAAATAAAGTTGCAACAAGTTCTAAGTTTGTATTGCATCACAATCGTTTCAGTGTATTTGACAGCCCCATTGCTGATATCGAAGCCACAGTCCACTAGATTAGGAACATGGAGGTCCTCCTGTTTAACGTTGCAGCAGAAATTCCTCTAACTTGCTGATTTCCGCACACCTATTTTCTTGCATTTCAGGCAAGTTTAGGAGAGAGAGTGCAAATCACCAGAGACAGTCCTGCAGTGACTTAAAAACAGAGCAAGATGCAAAAGAAACAAATGCCCATTGAAATATTTACTGTGGTTATTAAAGTAACCAAATTATAGACAGTAAAGGTAATTAGTGACAAGCTATTTGCCACTCTGCAAATTACACGTTATTGATCTCTCTCCACAGTTTTTAAATAAAAGCGAAAGTTAGAAGCAATTATAAAAAGGCAAAAATCAGATTGATTATAATCTGTTAACACAAGCTTGTGACATTCTTCAGTAATTTGCATTTATAAACTTAATCAGTTACATTCTAGTACAGTCATCCAATCTAATGGGCAAGCGAAGCCCTTTCAGTTCCATATTGATAGGGGATAAGCACGCACTTTAAGTAAAATGAACGTAGTTATATTTTCAGTGCTGTTCACAACCTATTTTGCATTTTTATAGCTCATAAAGTAAATATATATTATACACAGAGACATCTTTAACTTTCAAAAAACTAATTTTAATCAAAACAAAAAATTGTTGAATCATTAACAAGTTTATAAAACAGTGATTTAGTTACATAAATAAATTGATATCAGTGTATCAAATCTTAATTACTTTTAAACTTCAAGAGCATGTTTACACGGGCGATGAAGTACAATCTTTCACCTACTATAATAAATAAAATGGTGAGCAAGAAATTATAATCTTTTTCCTAAACAGCAAAAAAAGCTACAGAACATACCTCTAGCATTTTCCCTAGTGGAAGGAACAAGTGACACTAGTAACATTTTGCACCCAACGTAAAAACTCTTTTATAAAGCACAAGATACAGAACAGTTCTGCTAAATTAAAGACTCAAAATAGAAACCAAAGTCATTTTTAATGAACAGTTTGGTAGTTAGATGTCCAGTTTGGTTATTTTTTAAAGCATTAAGACAAGGCAAGATAGAAGGCTGTTCTCTCTCAAGGAATTCTATTGGAGGAAAAAAAAAGTAGAACAGTCTTACTACACAGCAACTTCCTGTCCTGCACAAAGTCAGTTCCCAATGCAGATTAATATATGTTATTGAGCACATAAGTAGCATTTCACTATACCACTGCAAAGGCCTACTGTAACATCTTTTTATTGTAAAACACATAGTTCAACCTTTTCAAGGATGTCTTAAATTGTTGTAGTTCAGTTCTAGACTAGGAGGCACAAAGCCTGATTCTGGCAAATACTTTTAATGCTAAGGCTTACTGCTCTGGCTGTAATTTGTTTTTTTTTGCCCCTTTTAACTATGGTGTTTGTTACAAGCAGATTTTTTTCGTTTTTAAAATTTATGTTTTCTCAAACTAATTATCAGTCCAATCATGCAACAGAGGTGGTGGCTCTGCATAGATGTCCAGCACACAATTCTCCACCTGAGCCAACCTGAAGCAAGGCGCACTTTAGTCCTTCTGATATGTTTTTATACCAAGCTACTGCAGCTTCAAGTATTTTGCATTACATAGAATATTTTATAAATTAAAATGTTACGTATATTTTTTTCAATATTCAGACATATACTATAATATATACAGTACAATAAATGCTCTCATTCTTTCTTCGATAAATCCCTGAGAATGTATGTTGACAGTCGCTAATTACACATGCACGAGCAACGTGTGCCATGCTTCTGGATGAACAGCACTGCAAAGCCACGTGGTCAGCCTTGTATTTTTAATACACTGAAATGTAAGGATGAGTGACGAAGGAGTAAAGCTGAATCCATACGAGGTACTTATCACTTAGGATGGAGGTGTCTGTTTGGTTTAAAGCCATACTCTTAGGCTGTGAATGTACATACAAAGGACAGGAGCGACGTGGACTTTTGCCACTTGACAACATGTACTCAGTGTAAACTGATTCTTTTTTTTCCTCTTTTCTCATACAAAAAAAACACACAAATCTCACAATCAACAAGGTTAAAGTTTGTGAACTGTTCATTACTATACACATATAATACCGGTGTGGCTCTGGTTTAGGTTAAAAAGGGTACAAAGGCAGGCTCAATAAAAAGATATGACAGCGTGCTGATCAACCAAATCGCTCACGCACCAACATCATGAGTTTCTTTTTGCCTTTGTAAATTTGCTTCAGGTTGTCAATAAATTGTGTAAACTGGATGTGTCCATCGTGAGCCATCAAGAAGGTCTCTCGGGCCTTGCTTAGGAACTCTATAAACTCACTATAGTGCCGTGGACTAATGTGCGTAAGCCGTGAATGCGTTGTATTTATATAGGCCCCAATAGTGGCATCCAGGAGCTGTCGGAGTGGCGCTTTGTCCAGTGACATTAATTTCCCAGAGTTCCTCCGTCCATGTAGTCCCACCATTCCTGGTGTGGTCAAAGTGCACCGGCGTAGAATGTCAGAAAGTACTGTAGCACACTGAACACTTTTAACCACCAGAGGTATTATAGCTGCTAGCTCATTCTTCCCAAGGGAGTGGCTAAGTGCACATGCCCAGAGGACATCATTAATGGCAGGGTGTGTATCCTGATTGTAACCCAGGTTGAGATGCGTCATTGCCAAAGTGGCTAGCTTATAGGCCCGCATTGGGTAACCACGGTGCTCCATGTACCGAGCAATTGTGAAGAGCTGTGTATAACTCATACCAGTCGTGGCAGCATCTAGAACTATTTGGTAAGCAGTCTCAAAAGCTATATGGTCCTTTTCACACAGGGTTAGAGCTGAGAGGGCACAGTTCTGAGGATCCTTCATTGCACACTGCAGTGCAAGCGTCCTTGCACTGCTGGCTAGTTTCTCCCGTTGGTTATAGTCCAGGTTCAATCTAACAACTGTGCTGTGAGACATTACTGTAGTGGCAACAATACTGGTAGCTTCAGTTGGGGTGAATAACGTAAACCAACTTTGCATAATGCTGTCCAATGCATAAACACCTGAAAAGACAAAAGAAAAAGGTTTAGCTATTTTATTCCTTGAACAATAACTATATGAGAATTGAGATCCTGTGTGCAGATCAGGCTTCTAGGTACTGAACAAACCATGCAGCTTCCAAAAAATACAAATACACCCACATATTCAGGAATTTTTTTCATGTTTCAAATGGTTGTAAATGCTTTCTTTGGTAGGGGCAGTGGAAAGAGAGGGTAAAGGAAATTATAGGAGAGATTGTAAGAACACAAAAACTGCATGTACCAGGAAAAGCCTCTCTCCTTCAAATACAACTTTTACATTGTCACAATGTCCAATATTTGTGAAGGAGGCATACCATGATAAAAATATCATGAAATAAACATATCACAAATTTTCCAAAGTTACTTAATCAATTAGGTCTAAAATTCTCTCAATGACTTTAAATTCTACCATAATAATCAGTTTCCCTTTTGTGAAGAGCTCAGCAGATTGGTTTCAGTCCACATGGAAACCCATTCCACCCGTCAAACACAGAAAAAGCAGACTTTCGAATGGTGTGAAACTTAGCCCATCTTCATCCAGTAATCATATAACAATAATTAAATGTTTCGAAAAGCTCCTTGCACCTATTTTATTCACTAAGCTGGATATTTCCATGGGTTTCGGGATTCTAACACCAGCTTCTAGGTGATCGCGGGACTGTATATGCTGGCAGATCAGCAATCTTCCGAGAAGCATCCTCGTTATTGGCCACCTTGGCTTTTGCCGTTCCTATTAATGACAGTGAATGGAATCACAATACTGCTGAGCCCAAAGGACTTGCAGCTCCACAGGTAGACACTGCTGAGACAAGTAAAAGAACAGGAGGGGGCCTCAAAATAAGCAGCCTTCAGTGATGTGGACAAACAAGATGGCGCTGCCGTTCTTCGAGAAAAGGCAGCTGAGGGATTTGATAAAGATATACAAACTCAAGAGGGGACAAGGGAGGGAAGACGAGGGAAATCTATCCAATGGTGAAACATTGAAAACCAGAGGATACCATTATAAGGTGATTGACAAGGTCAGAGGTGACACAAGGAAAAGCTCTCTCTCATTAAACGGTGAATGCAGGACCTCGAATGCACTGCCCGAGTGTGTGAAGGCGATAGATTCATCGAGACTTTCAAAAGGGAATTAGACAATTGTCGAATTGAAAAGATTTGCAGGGGTGAGAGTAGCCATATAACTACCCCCCACCGCCCCAAGAGTGCTGGCATAGAGACACAGCATGGAAACAGATCCTTCAATCCAACCAGTCCACACCAACCATGTTCCCAAACTAAACTAGTCCCACTTGCCTGAACTTGGCCCATATTCCTCCAAACCTTTCTTATTCATGAATTTATCCAAATGTCTTTAAATGTTTTAACTGTACCTGCATCCAACACTTTCTCTGGTAGTTCATTCCACATTAACCACTCTGTATAAAAAAAGTTGCCTCTCATGTCCTCCTTAAAACTTTCTCCTCTCACGTTAAAAATATAACCCTAGTTTTGAATTGCAGAGAATTCAACCATAGCTAGGATAGAAATATGAAAAATCATATTGGAAAATCAGAGGTATTCTTTTGAGGCGAGGGCAGAGTAAAAAGGAGCCTTCTACTATTTTAAGCTTTATAACAATTCAAATGGTGTTATAGAAGCTTAGAGCACAAAAGACAGCCAAATGTATTTTCCCCACATTTTCGCTACAGTGATCGGAAACTAGATTTATAGTCTTGCACCATCCACAGCCACCGTCATTTCAAGAGAACTTCTCTCCCGTATCATATTTGCATTTATTCCCAAACTCTAGATGCATGGAGGGGGTCGTGGTACAACCAATTGTCTTGCTAAACTACAGCAGCTGTTAATTAAAGCTAGATATTGGCTACAGTGGGGAAGGATTGCAGATTTCCCTCCCTAATCAGAATTAATGAAATCAGTTCAGTTTGAGACAATCCCACAGGATTATGGCTACCTTTTATCCATATCAGTTTATTTTTAAGATTATCCAGGCCTCTCGATTACTAGCTCAGTGACATATTCCTACACAGGATGTGTATGTATCTTCTTTTTCAAGCAGATCCAGCTTTCTTTTAATATGTCCAATTCATTCAGTCTCATCCATGGTCAGCATCAGTATGTGATTATGCATTTGAGCCTTCAGACCATCCATACCCTTCAGCACCTTTCATTAAGTGGTTGTTCTTATTCCACATCTTTCCACCCACCCCACCCCCAACAAAGTAGATTATCTCACACTTATCCACAAAGCTCAGCTGCCATGTTTGCCCATTCCACACTTTCTGCCTGTAGACTACTGCAATTTTTTTTGACAAGATTTGTAGCTCAGGTTGTGAATGAGGTTGTAGACTTGCTCACCAAGCCGATGTGTTTGATTGCAGAGCTTTCGTCATCCTGATCGGTAACGTCGTCAGTGCGCCTCCGGTGAAGCGTTGGTGTTCTGTCCCACTTGTTATTTATATGCCTTGGTTTGCTGGGGTGGTTGGCATTACTTCTGGTTCTGTTTCTCAGTGGTTTGTACACAGGGTCTAATTCAATGTGTTTGTTGATGGAGTTCCGGTTGGAATGCCAGGTCTCCAGGAATTCCCTGGCATGTCTCTGTTTGGCTCACGTTATTATGGATGTGTTGTCCCAGTCAAATTCATGTCCTTCTTTCTCCATATCTATGGAGACCAGTGAAAATTGGTAGTGTCTCTTGGTGACCAGGTGGTGTTCGTGTATCCCTATTGTCAGTTTTCTTCCAGTTTGGCCAATGTAATGTTTCTCAGTCCTTGCATGGTATTTTATATATTACGCTAGTTTTATTGGTTGTGGGTATGGGGTCCTTTATGTTTGTCAGTAGCTGCTGCAGGGTGGTTATTGGCTTGTGGGCTACCCTGATATCTAGGGGTCTGAGTAGCTTTGTGGTCATCTCTGCTATGTCTCTGATGTACGGTAGGGTGACTCATGTGTCTGGCTGTGTTGTCTTCTTGTTGTGGTCTGTCGCAGAGGTAACAGCAGATTGTACCTTTTGGGCATCCATTCGGTGGGGGGATGGGGAGGGGGGAGATGGGAGGGCCGTTGGTATCTCTTGGGAAAATGGGCCTTCATCTATTGGAGCTTAGAAGACTAAGATGTGATCGTTCTTCGTAGGATTAATTTATCTTTACTATAGCTCCCATCCACCAACTAACTTTCTACCAAGTTGCCACATTTCCTTACATACTATATGCCTTAATATTTCCAACTTAGGAAACATCTCACTGAATGCCTCCTGAAAATCCAAATATAATGTAGATATTTTCTAGTCAACCTGTTCAGAAATACTATTGCACACCTCTGGAGCAGGTGGGATTCAAACCTGGGCCATGTATACTGTATCTACTGTATTATATTTATCTAAGTAATTGGTCACCTAAAGAACAACATGAATTTATCATCAAACATGGCATCAGATCTAGGTTTAGCAATTGGTGACAGGGGCTGGAAGCAATAGTTTCACACCAAAAGACAGCAACTAGAGGGGGAGATAAAGGCATTATATGGTACAGAGCTTTTGATGAGAAGGAATGGTCATGCCTGAGTGGAAGCATCAAGCGAGTCCAAGGATAAGTGTGAAGAGCCAGACCAATCACTAGTGTTCAATGTAATTTACCAAATCAGTGCAGAAAGCACAGAAGTTAGATCTGGTACATCACACTGAAGAAAAATGCCAATCGAAATATGCTGTGGTCTCTTGATCAACAGTTAAATTTGGAAAGGTTTAGTGCAGCATTTAACTGATGAATAGGAAATACAGTAATCGTTTCGAGTAGAAACATTACAACTGGCAGAGGGACATTTTCATTTCATTACTCTGGCAGGATTTCACAAGTTTGAAGAGGGGGAAGAGGAAAGAGAAAATTAAACTGGCTCAAAATGGCCTTTCACAGCAACTCTTCCACTCATCTTGGCTGTTTCCTCGTAGCCAGATGCTTTTTACCTGGGTCTTTTGTGCCACAGACTTTTTTTTGTAATGCTGGGCCAATCCATACAAACCAATGAACTGCGACAATGCAAGGTGCTCACTAATACACTGTAGCAAGTCATGGTGTGTGGTAGTGCTACAGTGTGAATGCAAGGAGAAACCCTATGGGAGTTAGGAGAAGTTGCAACATGGACAAAAGACAGGAACACAGTATAAGAAATCAAAAAAAAAAAGCAGACAGAAAGAAAGGAAAAAACAACAGCAAACATACAAATAATTGTAAAGCATGTATTTGAGGATGTACAATAAACTATTAAACCTATTCTAGCTACACCTATGTGGTGCAAAAGTCCCAGATGCAGGTGATCTGGTACGAAACATCACCTCCTTCAAGGCAGATTAATGAAGTGAAATAGAAAATTATCTACTAACAAGTACAGCAGGAATTTTACTTTAACATTTTGATAGTTCTGATCCCAAAATGAAAGTGGAATATTCTTAAATTGTTTTTCTTCCTGTTCATTTATTACATTTTACTTGAATTCAAATTTACAAGTCACATTTATAAATTGTGACACTACATGTGATCATAAGCCACTATCAATGATCCCTCAATATTTTGTGTTACATACTGCCCATTTCTTCCAAAATGCAATTTTTTTTTGTATAACTGCTATGCTGTACGTACTATCTTAAATGGTTCAGTTTTAAATTGGCATGCATGATACGTTCAGGTTTGCTATATTTTTCATGGTTCATGTTATATGGGTTTCATTTGTTAGGCTAACATTTAATGCCCATTCACAAATGCCTTGAAGGTGGTGGTGATGCAGTTCATGGTGGGTTGGTAGTCCATAGTGCTGTGAGGAAGGGAGCTCCAGGAACTTAATCCATAGACAGAAACGCAATTCAGTTCTGGGATTGTGTGGCTTGGAGGTGCTCCCATGTATCAGCTGCTGTTGACTTTCTAGGTGACAGTTTGGAAGGTGCTGTCAAAGGAAACTTGGTGACTTGCTGTAGTACATCTTGTAGGTGGTACACACCGTGGCCATTGTTTGTCTGTGGTGGGGGAGAGATTGTTTATAAAGTTTCATGAGGTGCCAACCAAATGAGCTACTTTGTCCTGAATGGTGGAGAGTTTCTGGAGTGTTGCTGGAGCTGCACTCATCTAGGCAAGTGGAGTGAATTCTATCACACTCCTAACTCACAAATTGTGGACCGGCACTGGGGAGTAAGGAGGTGAACTAGGTCGTAGAATTCCTAGCCTCAACCGGCTCTTATAGCCACAGTATTTAGATGACTAGTCCAGTTATGACTCTGGTCAATGGTAACCTCAGAATGTTGACATTTTGCATACAAGCATAGCTTAGCATTAACTGTGGTGTGGATTATTAAATTTAAAGCTAGCCACAAGAACTTCTGCATGGTCCTTTTTATGAAACTGTTTACATTTTTCTTTGCAATTTTGTTCTTATTGTGTTTTGCCAAAAAATTTTTCCAAGGCCTGAAACAAAGCCTTTGTAGTTCTGCTACTTGAAGATGTGCAAGACTAGGTTGGCTTAGTTTTCCTTACAGTTTTTCCTTAATGAGGAAGTACCTGCTTGCTACCTCCCTTGGTGCCTGGGAATTTGCTATGTGGGGAAAATCACCAAATAACTTTGAACTGGTTTCCTAAAATGCTTGTAACAAGCTAATGCTACCATATCAATTTAGACGCTTTTGGATGCAGTTCACATGGAAACCTGTAGAATAAGCCTCTCCCCATCAAATATCAGCAACAGCAACTCTAACGTTTATACTGATCCTGCAGGATTTCCGTGGATTCTCAACCAACACTGCAATGGTTAATTGGCAGGGTCCTGACAGAATCATGTTCATTAGAAATAGAAAACTAGAAAAGCTAGAAACACAGATGTTGACTGAACTGTTGGACATTTGTTTTTAATTTGAGATTTCATTATTTCTTGCCTTTACATTTTAATCTTTTATCTAAAATCTAAAGGAAGAGGAAGTTTTCTTTTGCAGTGATATCCATTTTGTTCACAGCCTTTCCTAAATGCGGCTGTTCGCTGCGAATTACAACTTTTGACTCACCTACTTCTGTAGCACATGTTACCAACCATCGTACCATCTCACGACGGCGCCAGTTTAATGTTGATAATGTCATTCGCATAACCTGCAACAGAATGGTTTTTAAAAAGTTTAGGTTTTTCAACAATTACTGATATAATGAAAAACTACTGGCAGATTATTTACATTCTGATATTCCTTCTTGATGATTTCCTCATTTTGCCGAGGGACAGTAAAAATCAGCTACTTTTAAAACAAAAAAAAATGCAAGTTGTGCTCAACATCATGTGGGATGTTGACACTGGGTTATTGGCACAATTTCTTGCTTTCAGCATCAGCACCAAGGGCTTTTAAGTCACATTTAACACGGCAGAGATACAGCACACTGCACCATTATACTCTGCAGCAAACACGGATCATGGTCCCAACCTCAGAAATTACAAACTATTGCATCAATGTAGCTCCTATTTCCAACACCAGTCTTTCCATTCACTCTTGAGTCAATGGCCGACATAATTCCAAATTAAGCACCGCTTTGTTCTGGGAGCAAAACCACCAAAAATGACAAACTTAAATTTATCTCATCAGAAGGTCAAAACTGCAATTTGATAGCATTGAAAGTACATCACAGTTCATTTTACAAACTGGACAAATGAAAGTTCACTGAAAATGAAGAAATCCAGGTAGAATAATTTTAGCAGGTAAAGCAGAAAATGTTGGGGACAACAAGTGTTTGGGAAGCTGTTAAAAGCATAGGCAAGTGGTATGGATTTGGGAATGGAACTCCAGTAGGAGCAGGACGTAAAACATGGCGGACTATAAAGAAAGAACATACATTTGTATTTAAATATTTGGACAAGATGCAGGAAAATGTCAGGCCCTGATTGGAAACCTATTACGCAGGAAGGGAAAGTGAGAGGAAAATAGAGGATGATTACTTAACTTACTGAAACAAAAAACACATTTAGATCAACTTCTTCTCAACCTCAGCTCTTAGCGCAGAATGTGTTTAAATAATATTGAAAATTACTTTGTGATAGAGAATGCAATGGAAGGGGCAGTGATCTGCAGCAGACCAAGTGGCAAAAACAGTCGCAGAATGCTGTTGGATTCTGTATCAGTCCAATACACATCTCCTTAAAAAAAGAGGGAGAAAACCTCACCTGCAAACTAGAATAAAGAAAGCAAAGTCTATGGTACACATATGACAGGAGATGGAAGGGCAGGAATGGCCTGCAGTACAGAGGGAAAACAGATCTGCAAATAATAAAACTCAGCTGAGAGAAGACTGTAATTGGGAAAGTTCAGGAAAGTAAATGCCTCAAAAGGGAGAACATGCCAGTAAAAAGCCAGGTCAGTAATATGTATTGGAGCTTCCCCAAATGGCTCACTGGATGATGAAAACCCGTAAGTAGTTGTTATCCTCTCCCACTTATCTAAACCTAAACGTCCGAGGAGAAGGTCAAAGTGGATGGGCTCATTTAGTACCACATGATGCCCCCCACCCCCAGTTAGTAAACATATGACAGCCAATTTATGGAAAACAAACACTCATCCTCGCTACAAGATTTTCAAAAGAAGCTCATGTCCATAAAATTTGGATTATTTTTGAAAACTTGATTAACCAAGGAAATCAACATGATTTGTGATTGTCACAATAGGATCTCAAGTAATATGACATAGCAAAATAAACCACTTTTTGGTTGGTCTGGGAGAGAGAAACAGCAAAGCATATTACTTGATTAATAATTTTAGGAAGAACTTCTTATGATGACTAATCTTCTCAGTCATAAGAGCCTATGTGGATACTACTCAATCACCAAAATTGCCTTGGATTTAAAAAAAGCACTAATCTCAGTATACAATTGTGGACTTACCTGAAGACCCAGCTCCAGGGACACTTTGAGAAGGGTAATATCGGGCAAACTGTCCATAGGAGTTGCTATTTTAAACGCATCCTGGGCGAGCTTGAAGATGTGTGATGAGGAGTGAATGTTCTTTTGTATGGATTCTAACACTGTTTCCAGCCTCATTACATCTCCTGCAATTATTTGAAAATATGCATTTTCGCTCAGTTATTTCCAGACCAACATATCTATACAAGCGGTTACATTAAAAAAATTCTGCTGTAAACTTTATCAATGTAAGGAAATAAGACTAGCTAAGAAATTGTACATTTTGAAGCAGTGTGAATCAACCAAAAGGGTGTTTTCAATAACATACTGGAATTTTTTTTTTTACAAAAATAAGTACAGCTTTTGATAGAAGATGCACATTTTCACACGATTATTTTCCCCTTGAGAAGCTGCACTAAGTCCAGTGTGAAACATCCATCAGCTGTCAACGAGCAGTAGTGTGACCGCACAGGAGTTGCGCTGACGCTCAGAATACAATAGTTAGCGTTATGCATACATCAGTGAGCACACAGGGCAGTGGAAGTCTGTACATAAACTGCCCACAAGGCCTATTAGAGCTGTCCATAATATACTACAAATGCAGCACTTTAGCAGCATTCCATTCAGAGGGTGCCCCTTATCTTAACCTACAGCTACTTAGCTACCTCCTTTAGCATGTTTTGAACTCATTTAGCTGCAGTAATGCCAATATCTTATCACATAATCCGTAGGTAACGGGACTGAAATTGGACATGCCAGCAGTGTAAAATGGACTTGCAGCAATTCAATCTTTTCACATCAATTTTCATTTCTCACTGCCTCGGAAAGTATTGCCAATGTAAAAAATCTCAAGTAAAACAGCAGTGAAACTAGGAAAGAAAATTTTAAATAGAATTTGAAAAATAATGTTGTGAATTTCAGTGAGAGGATTCAGCATAGCAAAAGGTAAGCTGCCACTTCACAACTTGTCTGCTGTGTAGACAAATTTCAATCCCCAAATTCAAAAATATCAGTTTTTTTTTCCCCAAACATAAATCAATATTGAGATTGTTGGTTCAATCTCTAAACTTTAAGTGTAACAGGTCACAAATGATAAACCATGCGATTAAGCGTATCTATGACACAGAGTATGATTTTTCAAAGATCTTGGATTTCCACACAACCAATTCCCCATTCAACTTGTTTTCTGCCTCCATTCTAAATTAAGGCTGATTAATATTTTCACAAGGAAAGAAATGGAGTTACTTGCTTTTATATTGGTGAGTTTTGCAGTTTTTGTCCTTGGATCTCTGCATGCACTCCCTAGGTTAACCTTGCTAAAGCTGTTCCCCTTATCTTGGCTGATCTGTCAATTCAGTTTTCTATGGGTTCATGATTTTCTTGCTGGTGTAAAATTTTACTACACAGGAATATGTGTTTATAGTCTAACTCTCCCACAATGAAAGCTGCAGAACCACCTAATATACAAACATAAGACAACAGAGCAGGAACCGGCCCTTTGACCCTTTGAGCACACTCCACTATTCAACATGATCATGCCTGATTCCTCTGTCTCAACATACTCCTGCACTCTCCCCGTATCTTGGCACATTTTAGCCTCCAGAAATCTACTCCTTTAAACAGATTCAGAGTCTTGCACTTCAAAGGTTTCTCAGTAGATAGTTTCACAAACTGACCACCCTCCAAGTGAAGACATTCCTCATTTCAGTCTGAAATGGCCTACTGTGCATCGTAAGATTGACCCCTTGTTCTGGACCCTGGCCAAGGGAAACATCATCCCAACTTCCAGACTGTCCAGGCCTGTCACAATTTTGTGTTCTTTCGTTCTTCTAAACTCTCATGAATACAGGCACAATCTCTCCTCATACATCAAACTTGCCATCCTAGAAATCAATCTGGTTAACATTCACTGCTCTTCCTCAACAAAACTGACTTTTTTTCTGGGCTAAGGACACAATACTCCAGATGTAAAAAATCACCAAGCCCCTATACAGCTGCAGTAAGACTTCTCTACTCATGTACTCAAACATTCTTGCAACGAACCTGCCTTCTGCCTCCTTAACTGCTCGCTGCATCTGAAAACTAACTTTCCATGACTGCTATACAAGGGCACCTGGGTCCCTCTTTTAGAAATCATTCATGGGACGTGAGCTTCACTGGCTAGACAGCATTTGTCGTCGAGTTCCCCTTGAGAAGTTAGCGGTGGGTTGTCTTTGAACCATTGCAGTACATATGGTGCCAGCTGACTAACAATACTGTTAGAGTGAATTGCAATATTTTGATTCACCAAAGGAATAGTGATATATTTCTAAGTGAGAACTGGGAGCAGCTTGGAGGGCAACTGGTAGGTGGTGGTGTTCGCATGTATCTGCCATCTAGAAGGACAAGGGCAGCAATGGACATGGGTTTGGAAGGTGATGTTTAAAGAGTCTTGGTGAGATGCTGCAGTGCATCTCGTGGATGGCACATATTATGAACACTGTCAGTCGCAGAGGGAGTGAATGTTTGTGATTGTGGTACCAGTGGGCTGCCTTGTCCTGGATGGTGTAAAGCTCCTAGAGTGGTATTGGAGCTGCACTCATCCTTTGTATGTCAACATTTCCAAGTCTATCACAATTTAAATAATACCATTATTCCGTACATTAAGTTATAAGAGAAGTCCCGTTGACAGCTTCAAGACTGGGGAAAAACTCAGTGTCCATTCAAGTTCTAAGGGGTCTCCAGACCATGGGTCACATGTATGAAAAACATCACTGGTGTTCCAGCTCATCAATATAAACCATCACAGTAACGGAAAGCCACATAAGCAATTGGAACAGTCACGGCCATGCTTCAGCCCTTAATCAACTAAACGCCAAAGTAATTTCAATTACTTAAAATGCAAATCAGGTCGATCCATTCTGGAAAAATGGGAAATGTGTGTTTGGCAGCAGAATTTCTGGGCTCGTCTGATATTTTCAACAGAGAGGCTGTTCATTTCTGCATGATGTAAATCCAGGCTTCAGACTAGCACTGCTTACACTACAAGTAAACTAGTGAAATAGAGGTTTTCAAGCCAGGAAAACCACACAAATAACAACCTCTGTTATACAATTCAGACCCAGCAAAAGTGTCTAATTTGACAAAACACTACAGGATTTAACAACATTTAAAGTCCCAATAGGAGAGATAGTTACGTTAGCCCCAGAGAAGATTTATAGATTTCCACTGATTAGACTGTGTTAGAAGACCGAGGGGTGATTCACCAGAGATGCTAAAAATATTGTACCATCATACATTGTGGTTTGGTGGTGTGAGCTTAACTTTTTAAGAGATAAGGCAGGGCCACAACAAAAGAGTCCAGGTACCAGCAGTGACAGACTCAAATACTGAACTCAATACAGAGCTACTTTTGGGGAGATCTCAAATATCTCTTTGAGACATCAACCTATAAGGGAAAACCATACTTAGTTAGCCTGAAAGTTATGATAATACAGTGAACTCTCGAGGAGTCAAATCATAGAATCATGTCATAGAATCCCCAGTGTGGAAACAGGCCCTTTGGCCCAACAAGTCCACACCAACCCTCACAGCATCCCACCCAGACCTATACCCTTACCCTTTCCCTGTAACTCATCTAATCTGTACAACCCTGAACACTACGGGCAATTTAGCATGGCCAATCCACTTTACCTGCACATCTTTGGACTGCAGCAGGAAACCCAAGCAGACACGGGGAGAATGTGCAAACTCCGCACAGACAGTCACCCGAGGGTGGAATCAAACCTGGATCCCTCGCGTCGTGAGGCAGCAGTGCTAACCACTGAGCCACTGTGCCACCTCATTAACATTTACTGACAAGTAAATATTAAAACAGAGCTTCAAGATAGCAGAGGTACCTGTGTAACCCAACTTGTCTACTACAATGTCCAAAAAAAAAACCCGAACGAAATCAGTAAATAAGTTAATAACATCTTTATTTTGAACTTGATCAGACCTTCCAATAGCCTGACCTCATACAAGAGAAAGGCCATGAAAAATGCTCGAGGATAGTACCGGAAAAATGCAGTAAATATTTTCTGCTTAAAGTGCTGCCTTCAGATACATAAAATATAACGCGCTGTGCTACCAACCATGTTTTTGTGCTACAGTGCAAAATCCCAGAGCACCTCTTCAGCTAGGGAAGCGAGGTGGGGTGAGCCATCTATTGTTGTAGGCCAACTCCTTATTATGGCCCAGGTTCTTGAGTTGGGAACTTTCTTTGCTCAAGCTGCCTTGAACCACGTTAGCAGAACATCTTCAATGTTGAAATAGGCAGGTATTCTCCTCCTTGTTCTCACCGCAGAGGATATCTGCATGTCAAACTGCTCCAAGATGTTCACCTTGTGCTTCAGAACAGTTGACAAACTCAGCAAGGCACCACCCACTCCTTAATGATGTCCACTTTTTGTTTTGCACTGTTGGACAATGGGCCAATGGGCTAATGGGCTGAGAAGTGTCAAATGGAGTTTAAATTAGATAAATGTGAGGGGTCGCATTTGGCAAACCAGGGCAGGACTTATACAGTCGGGCCCTGGGGAGTGTTGTCAAACAAAGATGTAGGGTGCAGGTGCATAGTTCCTTGAAAATGGAGTTGCAGGTAGATAGGGTGGTGAAGACAGCATTTGACACGCTTGCTTTCATTGGTCAGAACATTGAATATAGGAGTTGGGATGTCATGTTGCAGCTGTACAGGAGATTGGTGGGCCACTTTTAGAATACTGTTTACAATTCTGGTTGCCCTTTTTTTAGGAAGGATGTTGTTAAATTTGAGAGGGTGCAGACAAGATAACAAAAGCATGTTGCTGGGACTGGAGGGTTTGAGTTAAAGGGAGAGGCTGAATAAGCTGGGGCTTTTTCCCTGCAGTGTTGGAGTCTGAGGAGTGACCTTATAGATCTATAAAATCATGAGCGGCATGCATAGGGTGAATAGCCAATGTATTTTTCCTAGCACTGGGGAGTCCAAAACTACAGGGCATACGTTTAAGGTGAGAGGGGCAAGATTTAAAAAAAGACCTGAGGGGCAACTTTTTCACAGAGGGTGGTGTGTGTATGGAATAAGTTGCCAGAGGAAGTGGAGGTGGTTACAATTACAATATTTAAGAAGCATCTGGATGGGTTTAGAGGGATACGAGCCAAATGCTGGCAAATGGGACTAGATCAGTTTAGGATATCTGGTTGGCATAGACAAGTTGGACTTGAAGGGTCTGTTTCCATGCGATAAAACTCTATGACTTGGTTTTCCACTTACTAGATCAACTTCGCTTTCTCTTCAATCAACATTTAACTTTCTCACAGGTTTACTCATATTTGCAGGGCTTAAAAGTCCTTTCACAGGAAACATCTGTCAAATGATGGCGGATGGAATGACAGAGAAAAATGTTTAAATTAACCTACTGGACATGTTATGAAACATCTCTGGCAGACAGGACTTCTATCCAGGCGTTTAGGTCCACAGGTAGAGGCAACTATGCTGCATTGCAAGACCCCCTCGAGTCAGAATGACAACAATGATAGGTATACAGATCAAATCATCATCTCTTCATACACGGCTGTTACATGTTTTATACAAAAGACCAGTACAGGAAAATTTATAAGCTATTCAGTAACTATAATGCTGCAATTGTTTACATGATGTGAGAGAGCCGAGACTTTATCAATTGAGGGATAGTTACCTCTTCACAAAGAGATGACAGCTATTTTGTGGAAAGGGGTTTATAAATCAAAGTCAGCATCAACTTGGGGTTTCATAGAGCTCCCTGTAACTAAGTTACTGTTCAGTAGGCAGCAAGTCATCAACCTGGAACTGATCTACAACACCAAGCAGCCATTGAAAGGAAAAGGCAGACTGGTAGCTACTGAGATAACAAGGTGTAGAGCTGGATGAACACAGCAGGCCAAGCAGCAGAGGAGCAGGAAGGCTGACGTTTCGGGCCTAGACCTTTCTTCAGAAATTCTTCCTTCCCGAAATGTCAGCTTTCCTGCTCCTCCGATGCTGCTTGGCCTGCTGTGTTCATCCAGCTCTGCACCTTGTTATCTCAGATTCTCCAGCATCTGCACTTCCTACTATCTCTGGTAGCTACTGGCTTTTTCTCCCCCCCTTAAATTGCATTTTAACCTTTGTTCCAAGAGCGTAATCTCGTTAGGCGAACAGATGACAGCTCTAAAAATTAATCTGATTGCCAAGGGCATAGAGGTCTACTTGAAAAATCCCCAATTACAGCCCACTTGTGAAACTGGGAGAAAGGCTTAACACTGGTAGGGAATCACATCCTTCATGATAAAAATTATAAGAGTTGGATAATCTGGGGCAGAGGGCCCAACTACTACACTCCAGTAAAGACTGCAAATCCAGTTCCTTTCACCAGTTGCTGGTTCTACTAAACAGTCACATGCTGTGTGCCAAAGACATGTCACAATGTCACGCCCCAATTTCAAGGGACAAGGCCAGTGCAGCTTGAACCGCACCATCACCCTTAGCACATTTGCTCCATTGAATAAACCAGTTATCAAATGTAATGCTCTGCTTATAAACTTTTATAGTTAAGGCCTGTCGTCCTGCATTTGTTTACATCCCAGACTTCCCAACGAAGATAAGAAATAAAAAAAAAAGAACAAGTACAACAAATCGAATGAAATCAAAGACTCCTGGAAAATACTACAGCTCAGACAGCAGACAGGCCAAGTTGTGGGCCAGATTCCCCTTCAAAAGAACTGAAAATCTAGGAAGTAAGCAAGGAGCAGCAAGAGGGTAAGCAGACTGTTCTATCAAGATAAGTTAATGTGTTGAATGATTTGCAAGATCCTTGAATGAAAAGCAGGCAATTGTTAATTGATATGAATGATCAGGTCAGACGGGAAGACATTAAACAAACAAAAGAGCCCACAAACAGATAAGACAATGAAAAGCCAAACGACATTCAAGAAAAACATCATCATGAGGGAAGTTAGAGAGAGCGAGAAAACAAACAACAGGAAGTCTATCGATGAGAGTCTGAAGTGAAAACAGAAATGCAAGCAGCACAATGGGTGTATCAATTCTCCACCAAAAATAAAACACTTGCAACCAGAGAGTGTGAACCCCTCTGCCACAGCACTACAACTGCCTTGAATATCAGAAATCCCAACCTTGTATGCTTATCCCAGTCTTCAAAATATAAGGATGAAACACCAGGACACTGCTGGGAGCAATCCACGAAAGAAAATCTTAGGATAATGAAAACGCGTTCTTCATTTTCTTCAAATTTTTTTGTTAATTATTTATAAACAAAAGCAGGAAAATGTTGAACAATCAATAACCAACTGGATAACAAAAGGTTGTTTGCTTTTAGACTGTAACATGCAGTAACAGACTGTGACAAATCCATCTGGCACATCATCATTGCATGGTCAATGTCAAGTTAGGGTGGAACACTTGGAGCCAAAAGGCCATGCGATTAAACTCCGCAGAATCTGTCTAACTGACATAGGCAATTGTACAAGATCACATTACTCCTTGTACTGGAAGAAAATGGGGTAAAATACTTAAATTCACAGTTCTGAATTCCCTATTTAAATTGCAGAAGTGACATATCCTCAGATGAGAGATGCTGGACCGAATGTTCTTGGCCTCTTGACAGTGATCTAGGAGGAGAGAAGGCCACAAACTAAGGGGACGAGGGGAGAACATCAGGAGCCTCAGTGCTGAGAGGGCATTTGATGCAATCCTATCAATAAGGAAGTTTCCTGGGGCAGGCTTGGAATGGCACTAGCTATCATTCTAGAGGTGGGCAGTCAATCACACACGTCAAAAGGTCCCAGTTAAAGTTTTGTGCTGTCACTGACATTTGCCAACAGCAAACTGTGCCCTACCACACTACCTGCTCAACAGAGGAGGCCTCCCTGCCGCAGGAGAAAGAGTCAAAGTCGCAGGTTCCATGCCACAAAGAGATTGGCCATGGGCATAATGGTCCCAACTGTGTATAAACCATTCCGGTTCCCATTCATCTATATTCACCTGCCAGCCTTGATTTTGTTCATTGCTGCAATTCTGTGCAAGCCAGGACGGGGCACCGCCATATTGCAGCACCCTCGCACACCCCCTAAACTGCCTCACCAGCATTTAGCTTTCCCACCAGAGCTGCCAATGTTTTGATTGGACTGACAATATCAGGAGCCCACGTGCAGCCATACTAAACATACCAAATACAGAGGCAGCCACGTAGGAGGCTTATTCTCAGGAGTTTGTTAAACCAGTCTCTCAGTCAGACCAATGTGATCTCTAGTCCTGAAGCCCAGCGTTTATAAAGGCCTTGAAGCTAGGGACAATTACACGAGGAGCAGCGCTGTCATAGACAAGCTGATGTCCTATGCCTGTGTTTTAGCATTTCAGTCTTAATGTCAATTCAGTGCCTGCAGAGTCCCGTTTCTGCTTCTCTCGAAGCTATCCCTTTCACTTGCTCTTTTGTTCGTGGACTTTTGTTTCGTAAATGTCTGCCCGAGTTTCTCTTTTGTATCACTTTACAACCTTCTTTGAAGCAGCTCAGAGGCTATTCACCTCATTAACCTCCTACGATTGAACCATCGAATGCCTTTCCCTTCCTTTTATTCCTGATGTAAGCTTATACTTCATTCCTTTTCAGCTTTGAAGGGTTCTACCCCAAGTATTAACCTGCCCTTTCTTTATGCACAAACTCCATTCCCATTTTGCATTCCTAAAGTTTTCTATACTGTCCTGGGCTAGCAGAACCAACTTTCCTGCTACCTATTACAATCACTTCTAGCTACAACAAATTATGTTTAAATTTAGTACATTAGTGCTTGGAAAATACATCTACATTCAATACCTTTGATAAATACAACATTAACACAATGTATTATAAAATTCCTGATCTTTTAAGATAATTCTCATTTAAATTAATGGATTCTCCTGCACTGGCTTAGCTGATAAAGTTAGATAAAGACTCTGAAGCCAGCACTCATACTTGCTGCTAAATATGGGAATCCTACACTGGGAGACCCTCTCAGATTGTCACTCTGTTATGAGTGACATATCAGAGCCCAGCTCCTATCAATGAGATCAGAACATGAATCCCCATCCGAACACGATGTACTGGAGCTTTAAGTTGACTGTTCCACCTGTAAAAGGAAACATTTAAAGCATGCACTATCTCACGAGTTATAATTTCTAATACCAGAACTGGGCCAAAAAGAATTCAGGGAAGCTGTAAAAATAATCAGAAAGTTTGAACTGAAAACAGAAACGATCTCTTGAGAAGGTACAAGAATTTGAAAAGAATTCTCTTTCATCATTTAATTTGCTTTTAAATTACTCCGGAATTTAAGTTACCTTTAGCAGCTGTTAACATTGTAGAAGCCAGCTCACACTGCTGAGACTCAATGTGGCTTAAAGTGAACCAGCGTGGATAACGGTTTGGAACAACAGAGGCAATGTGATGGGGTCGTGATACATCTCCTGTCGGTGCTGCGGATTCCAACACGGGCAGCCTGTAAATTAACAAAATAACTTGAAATTTTGTTTTCTCCAGATAAGATCAGCTTTTCATAATTTTAACAACATGAACAATTGAAAGTTGCAACAATTAGCTGGCATTAGCAATTAGCTAGGTATCAAAGTTGAACAAAAGATCATTATTAAGTAAATGCAGAACTACTGAATTCCTAAGCCTCTCTTCTTCTATAAAGCACCCCTTTGATCAATAGGAGGGTGGTTAATATCTCCTATTGCTGTGTCAATTTTGTCTTGGTACACTCATGAACTCTCAAATCTTGTTATGAATTACATTGAAGAAACGTTTCAATGGCATCTACTTCAGCTAGTGTGTCAGGTAACTCAGCACAGGTACTTCAGATCCCTTCAACAGCAGTAAAGAAGCACAAAGTTGCATGCTTCCACCCTCCCATTCCTTTTTCTCTCGGTCATCGATTTCATCCTGAGGAAAGTGATGGTGGATACAGACTTGGGCATCCTATGGCAATACCAGTGGCTAACAGACACGGGGCTGTGCAGAAGATATTGCTTTGCCAGCGTATTAATCGGACACATACTCTAAGATATGGGTGCCAGCCTTGAAAGTAGCAACACCAAGCTTAATCTATGTCTCACCCAGGCAACAATGACTGGAGCAACAATGCTTACTCACCAGATCACTACCTGGTAACAAATCAAGGACTGCAACAATTTCATTACCTAGGAAGCCAGAGCTTCAGGAGGGGCAATTTAGAGGTTAATGTCTGCCAATGAATCAAATGGCATGGGCGTCTAACAATTCAGCATAGCCATGACGCTGTGACTCTACACATCAATAGTGGTATCAACTGTTATCTGTTCTAGCAAGGAATAGGAGGGAACAACAAAGGTGTCACACGGATGTTTTTCACCTTCTCTACGTAAGATCCTTGGCTTTAATTAGGGAGACATCACCAAGAAGGATTACACAGGGGTACCTGCAGGATGTTCGGATCACAATGGAGAGATGGCAAGGATTGGCAGGACCTGTATTTCACCTCAACATCTAGTGCCAGCTGTGTGGAGTGTGCGGAACACCAAATAGAAAAATGGTGGGAGCTCTGCAAAGACGACCTTACGATGTTCATTTAAAGAAGACCTTCAAAAGTGGGGCACTACCTGGGTTGCAGCAAAAGAGACTGAAATGGACCACAGACAGAGGCAGTCTTGCTACTCCACTATCCCACAGAGCAGAGGAACCAAGTCCAACTAAGTAAGACACTACTGTAAAGCACCTTGAACATTTTAACCCCTTTATAGAGGGACGCAATGGCTTGGTAGTATTAATCGCTGGATTGTTAATCCAGAGACCCAGGTTCAAATCCCACCACCGCAGATGTGGGAAATATGAATTCAATAAATAACTGGAATTAAAGAGTCTAATGTTAACCATGAATCCATTATCGATTTTCAGAAAACCCCATCTGGTTTACTTTATTTTAGGGAAGGAAACTGCCATGCTTACTTTATCTTGCCTACCTGTGACTACAGACCCACAGCTATGTGGTTGACTCTTAACTGCTCTCTGGGCAATTGGCAATGGGCAATAAATGCTGGCCTAGCCAGCGACACACATCTTGTAAATTAGAAAAAAAGGTGCTATACAAACACAAGTGTTGCTCTTACTAAATTGAACTAATCCTAACAGCTTGGCCAGCCATTTACCTACCAATTTCTGCAATGCCACTGTTACAGACTGGCATTGTGTTTGAATGTGAAGTCAATGTAACTCAAAATAATTTATGTTGTAAAACACTTTGAAATGTTTGTGACAGACATAAGAATTATCTACAATGATCAGACTCTAGTAGTAATATCTTAAATTGAGACTTGTGACTCATTGAAATCGTAAACATAAAAAGTATAGGGGCATGGGCAAAGGAAAAAGAGGATAATATAAAATCAAGAGTAGATTTCAGCTAATCTGTGAAAACCTTCCGAATGAATTTAGAAGATATCCAAAGATCAGTGTCAAGTTGCAGAATATTACCATAAAGACATGTTACACACAGTTATTATGGAGGGAATTCACATTGGTTTCATAGAGAATACTCACACTTTAACTCATGCTTTTCAAGGTGCCTGTTTTTCTAGCCCAAAGCTTTGTTTTAAGTTTATGAACAGCATGACAATTTCTTTTCAAAAAAAAAAAAAAATGCCTCGTTACAAATGTCACCAAATTTAATAAATCATTTTTCAGTAACATATTCCCCTAACCAACATATTAGGACTTGGTCTGGATTTTCAACCTCAACAGACATGCACAATAGCCTTTGAAACAGAAACAGAAATAGCTGGGAAAACGTAGTAGATCTAAATTAACTCTGTTTTTTCTCAAGATGCTGCCATTCCTGCTGAGTTTTCCCTTCTATTTGTAATTTCCAGCATCTGCGTTTTTTTTTGCAATAGCCTTTGACCTTTCTAATGTTCTACAAGACAAATTCATAAAGTTGCTCAAGTCAGACATTCCAACTCTGAAAACTCAAATTCTGATCGAGCCTGGTTTTCAAAATATAATTATCCCTTTTAGCCAAAAAGCTTTACTTTGAAGTTTCTTTCTTCACCTCATCTACTGTAAATGCATCAAATTCTCAGGATTTGGACCTAAAAAAAGACACTGATTGAAAAGAAAAATTGTGAAGTTCCTGACTGTCTGAAATCAGTACATCAATAAATTCTCTTTTAAGGCTCAAGATATAACTTGTGCATTGAAGTGACCTTTGCAAGCAAGGTACATGTTTCACTTTGGATGAAAACACTTCCTGCTATTAAACAAACCCATGTGACATTGCACTATTGCTACTTTCCAATTCTTAAAGTCTTGTTCCCAGAAACCACTCATGTTTAACAGTCATCTTCTTTCCTCTTGCTCGCGACTGACAGAGACTTTGCAACCTACATGTGGTGAAATTGCAGGGGCAGCAAGGTATGTGAGAGCATTACTTTAAATTCAACACAAGTCTCAAGTTGACTATAGGCTGTCATCACAAATATTGAACAGATCCCAAGGGAGATGAATTAACATACAAAATGCAGGAGCGAAGTAAATGGGTACAGTCAAAGATGCGTTTAGAACCGTTGGAGCACTGAGATCACGTATGAACTTGAGGTCAGAAGAAAATAGTTTATTCCAGAGTTAGTCTTGCATGCTTGAGATAAAATTAATATTCAGTTGCTGTGGGGTAGAGGTGTTTTCAGGAATCTATAAAGCCAAGTAATTAGTGTTATATATTTAAGTTGCAAACCATATTAGAGGGCTTGCATTTCACAGTGATATATTCTTACGGTCATGGACATAATTCAAATGCCTTACTGCACAAGCTAAGCCTTCTAGACAATCAAGATAAACTACGAGTCTGCATTAAGCACACATTTTTCAGCAATAAAACTAGCACACTTCTGTTCGCATGGATTGTAGATTTTTTTATGAACACCAAGCTACTAATGAGGACAGTTAGGAATATGCTTGTTTTAAAATTACTACATCTCCTCATCATGGTAAGCAAGAACAAAACTTGTTCAATCCACCACTTACAGATTGTTAAACATTCTGGTTCTAAAATTTGACAGGATTCAAAAGGCACACGCAAAACAAAACAATAAACAGTACAACACTGGATCAGGTCCTACGGCCCACTAAGCCTGCACTAACGCATGATGCCTTTCTAAACTGAAGACATTTTGCCTCTATGCAGTCTATATACCTCTATTCCCTGCTATTCCTGTATCTGCCACGATGCCTCTTAAATGGTGCTATTATATCTGCTTGTACCATGACCTCTGGCAGCACATCCCAGGCACTTACCACCCTCTGTTTAAAAAATAAATTTTGCCTCTCATTTCGTTTAAACTTCTTCTTTTTACCTTAAACCAATGTCCTGTAACAATTGACATTTAGAGTCATACAGCATAAAAACAGACCCTTTGGTCCAACTAGTCCATGCTGACCATGCTCACAAACTGAACTCGACCCACCTGCCTGCATTTGGCCCATATCCCTCCAAACTCTGCTACTCATGCACCTTTCGAAAGGTCTTTTAAATGTTCTAACTTACCTGCCTCCACGATTTCATTTGGCGGTTCATTCGACACACTAACCAATGCCTGTGTAAAAAGTGCCCCCCTCATGACCCTCTTTAAGTCTGTGCCCTCTCCTCGCCCCCTGGTTTTGAATAGTTTTAATTAAGGCATGTCAGGTTGCTACATATTGCATGGAAAAAACACTAATGATATCACACTTTGGTAATGTCCAATTCGAAATGTTATTGGATTTCAGTTTCTTTTCGGGGTGGGGGTTCTGTAGCAGCATCATGGGTCTGTCTTCATCACATGGACTACGACAATTCACCACCACCTTCGAGGACAACAGGGTACAGGCAATAAATGCTGACTCAGCCAATCTTAAATAAAAACTTAGATGGTGTGGCTTATAGAAAGAAACTTGATACTTTCTCAGAACAAAATACTTGGTGCATTTTCAGGCCTGCTGACTGATTGATTTGATTTATGGTCACACGTACCTAAGTACAGTGAAAACCTTTGTATGTGAGCAGTACAGGCAGATCACAGTAAGCAAGGACATACATATCACAGGGTAAAGAGAGATTCAGTAAGGTATACAAGGTTACACCGCACAGGACGTACACCAGGCAAGATCAACATCAAGATCAGTATTAGAGGTAGTCAGTCCATTCATCAGTCGAATAATGGCAGGGAGGAAGCTGTTCTTGAATCTGCTGCTACGTGTTCAAGCTTCTGTATCTTCTGCCTGACGGAACAGGTTATAGGAGACCACTATCAGGTTTTTGGGGGGGGGGGGGGGGGGGGGGGGGGCGGGGTGTCTTTGATGACGCTGGCAGCCTTTCAGTTGCAACAAGACATACAAACGGAGTCCACAGATAGGAAGTTGGCTTCTGTGATGGTCTGGGCTGTGCATACAACTTCTGCAAGTTTCTTACGGTCCTAGGCAGAGCAATTG